GTGTGTGGGTGTGGGTGTGGGTGTGGGTGGGTGGGTGTGGGTGTGGGGTGTGGGTGTGGGTGTAAGTATAACTACTCCATTCATCCATACCCACACCCACACCCACCCACACCCACACCCACACCCACACCCACAAGCAAGCAAGCAAGCAAGCAAGCAATCAGACAATTTATGTTTGCTAGACTCTTCTCTACAAGAAAGAGAAAAAGTTGTTTTTTTGGTAAAAAAATTTTTTTCTAACATCAAGAAAAACTAATGTTACCATTGGATTCCACGATCCAAAAAACCTTCTGGGCAAACTTTTAAAAAAATTTTTTTTTAAAAAAAGTAGTTATTTTGACAAAAAAAATCTTTTTTGCAAAATTATGAAAAACTAGTGTTACCATTGGATTCCACGATCCAAAAAACACTCTGGCCAAACTTTAAAAAAAAAATTATTTTTCTAAAAGAAAGTCGTTTCGTTGACAAAAACAATTTTTTTCCCAAAATCATAAAAAATTAATGGTACCATTGGATTCCCCGATCCAAAAAACGTTTTGGTCAAACTTAGAAAAATTTTTTTTTTTTAAAAGTTGTTGTTTTTGTAAAAAAATTTTTTTTGAAAAATCATAAAAAACTAATGGTACCATTGGATTCCCCGACCCAAAAAACCTTTAGTCAAACTTTATAAAAGGAACATCCTTTGTGTTTTCAGATTATTTTTGAGTCAATCAGTGAAGTGCGGACATACAGGCAAGCAAACAATTTATTTTTGCTAGACTCCTCTCTCCGAGAAAGAGAACATCTTTCAAACGTATTCTTTTATTGTCCTGATAATATTTAGAGCCATATATTATTTTTCAGTAGCCTCTCTTTTTTTTAACGTTTTTATTAGTGCTGAAAAGTATTAATAACAATAATAGAAATCATTGATAGTTATTCAAGTGGGTACTTGATAAATTAATAATCATCGATTTATCATGAAAACGATGCAAACATTGACACATGGTCATATTGTCGTTGTCTAACGATAATAATAAAAAATAACTTGTTCTTTGTGTAATTCATGATTGTAATTGTTGTGTTGACTCAATCTTGCAATGACAAATCTAACATAAGCGTCACTATCTGTAGTAACGTAATATAATCTCAATAAACTTCTTTCAAATTTTTGTAAATTTTCTCTAACAACATTAACATACCGTTGTCATTGTTTTTGGACTAGCTGATGAGATTTCCATGTAGATGTCATTTTTTCTCCAGCGTAAGTGTTGTTTTAATATCGGATGCACACTACTATTTGAAATATTTAAGATATCGATAATTCAGTCAAAGCCCCAGGTAGATCATCTTCCACTAGGGTGTGAATATCTTCTAGGGATGCAGTAAACCCAGATGTTTGGGGTTTGATATCATTGGGTTTAGACTTGACAATAGATTTGGATTGGATTTGGGTTCAGGTTTGAATTTTGTAGTCTAGGTTTGGGTTTGGATTTGGTTTGAACTTGTTCATCATTGACCTAAAGTTCAAGGGATTTGGTAAGATACAGTGTAATAAACAACAATCTACTCTCATAGGAATAGGATAGACGGAAAAAAAAATTGGGGTTTGGTCTCAAACCGTTTGTGTTCGGGTTTGGATTTGGTCTTAGATGTCAAAATCTTTTTTCTGATTCTATTCTATTCCTAGTACAGTAAACTGTTGTTAATGGCACCGTATCTTACCAAATCCTTTGGATTTAGAGCATATGATGAACAAATCCAAGCCAAATTCAAACCAAAACCTCTAAGCCCAAACCTATGTTCGAATCTAGACTACAAATCCAAACCTGAATTCAAATATTGCATTCAAGTCCAAATCCAAATCTATCTCAAGATTTGTTGCATTCCTAGTATCTTCTTCACGTACACACATCCACACCCTATAAAGATTCAATCTTCTTTGTTAAATTTATTCATGGAATTCTTTTTCATTGTGTAGATGAATAAATGTATCATAGGCATTGTTCATGCTACATTTCGAGATAGTTAATTATACTCTTTTATTTGTATATTTTTGCCAAATTTTCTGTCTTATCTATTCTTATGTTTTGTAATATGTTTGTTATTGTTTTTTTTCTTTTTACGTCTTTGATTTGGTGTCTAAATATAAAAAATTCAAGTCCTTTTTGGTCGCAGATTTTGTCATAACACTTACTGTTGTGTATACTTGGCATATTACATTTTTTAGATCGAAACTGAGAAAACGTTTTTTACTAAGCATTTACAAAAATTTATAATTTTCGATATTTAACCGTTTCGAGATGATGTGACTCATCTGTGGATCACAGCACAGAGTGGCCCAAAAGCTCATTTGCCGCAGAAAAAAATTGAATATCTCTGCCATACTTCGATCAAAGGGGCTGATTCTTTTATCGCTGATAAAGAAATATTCATAGCTTATATTCATAAGAGAAACGTTGATATAAGTGTTCTGAAGTATTACAGTTGCAAGGAATAAAGAAATGATACCTTTCATAAATTATGAAAAAGCAATATTCATATCGCCGCGAATGGGTTAAACTACTTTCTCGATGAGGATACATAACAATCACTCCCTATGATCCGACAATAGTAGAAAATCTCCACTTTTCTTATCTCTTTTATTGGTCTCTCACTTGATCAGTATATAAAAAGGAAATAAATCATTGAATGAAAATTAGTTTGATGAAAATATTTTATTCATTGTTTTATAGAGAATGACAAATATTATTCACGATTTACCTGTATCGAATTCGATGAACAATATTCAATTGAAAGAGCAAACTGCAGAAAATGTTGTTTGCACGGAGCCACCTCCTTACGAATCAAGGTTCAACAACACAAACACCTCTCTTAAAGCGCATTATCAGTTTCAATTAGGATCGAGAGACAATGATGGATGTACACAAACGCTCGTCGGCACACAATCAACTCCAACTCGATCTATGGACCAAATAAAAACTCATATAGTTTGGTCTTTTTTTAATGTATTTTTCTGTTGTTTATGCATGGGATGCCTGGCTTGCTTCTATGCGATTAAGACTCAACGTTTAAAAGAAAAAAACGATATTCAAGGTGCATGGAAGGCTTCAAAGCAAGCTCAAAAGTGGAATATTATTAGCACTATATTTGGTGTAATCATCATTTTAATTTATTTGCTTATTAGACTGTCCATAAAATGATTATGATTAACACTCTTAACCACACCATTATTTTCTAATATTTAATCATGAATTTTTTTCATTTATTGATATTAATATATAATAATAAAGAGTGATCGAAAAGTTTTGACTTTTGTCAGTAAATCGATGATATCTATAACAAAGCTACATATGGTTAATTAATCGAAATATGTATTTTTTATAGAGAACGATTAGAATTATCATCTGAAAAAAAAGATATTTCGAAACACATAAATACAGTACAATCTTATGGTTATTTTACTAATCTTGGGTGAATATTGTCATTTTAAATTTTTTGAGAAAAGTTTTAAAAAAACTTCTTTATAATAGTTGTATGTTTTTTTCTCAGAGGGTTTTTTTTAATCAGATTTATCACTTTAAGTGAATCATATGCATCATATTTACTGGACATGATTGCACGTTCATAACACTATTCATATTGTTAAAAGCTTTGGCATTGGCAGTCTTATCTAGAGATGTATGTGAGGTGTGGGTGTCGGGAAAAAGAGACCCACATCCTCAAGTAAGCAAGTAAAAAACAACAAATGATTCATTTTTCCGTGTTTTTCTCGAATATTCCATTAAAATAATCGAAATTTATTTATTTTAAATAAGACACTCTTTATGCTAAATAAAAACTATGACGTCCTCTACAGCATTCCTCTTCCGGTATTTTTTTACAGAGGAAAAAATAAAAGTAAGAAAAAAAAATTTTTTTTCTTATATGTGCCATTAGAAATTCTCACAGAAGAGAAAAAGAGAAAAAAAGTATGACAATCCAGAAGTCATATTGTGAGTACGTCACTATTGAAAGTATGTATTTATTTTGACCTGGCATGTGAACGCTCTATTCAAAAAAAGGAGGAATAGAGAGGATTGCCATTGAAAATTTTTAGGAGGATCTGGTATCAAAAAGGAGGAAAATAGGAGGATTTCTGTTTTCTCGTGGAAAATGTATTCTATGCAGCACTTTAAATTATCACGATGCTTTTTTATTGTCTATACGACATTCGATAGATCGCCACCCTTTATTTCCACAACATAAATCCTTGGTTTTACACAATGTACAAATGAATGAATGATAATTTTACACCTTGGTTTAGTCATCGCTTAACAGGAATATCATCTGAATTTATTTTTTTCAACCATGAAATATTAAATCGTGTTATATGAAGAGGTATTTAACGAAAACGTAGTTATCTAATAATAGTTTTCTTGAAATGATTGGATATAGTCCTCTAACAAAAAGTGTGTTTTAATTTTCAAGAAAAGTTTTCTTTTAACTCGAGTTTTCGACAATTTCTCATTGTAATCGTCAGAACATGACCATATAGGAATGTTCAAAAAAATAATATACGTATGACTAAATTGCAACTTTTTGCTACGGTTGAATTTTTAGTTGTATTTTGTCAATAATTTTCGTTCTGGTGAGCCAATTCAGACGAATTTTTTATATGTTACTGGTCTTTGAGTGTCCGACTACCACACAAAAATTTAGCTCTCTAGCTCCTACGGTTGCTGAGTTACGAGAATTACACTGTTAAAAAATCGCATTTCACACAAAGATATACTGAGAAAATTGAATTTTTTCAATAAAAGAGGAAAACGAAAAAATATAATAAATAGATCATTTTGTACAGCTTGAAATATTCTATCACGTTACATATTTATTGTATTTTTTTCTTTCTACATAAGTTCTTATTAAGAACTTCTTGATATGTTACATAAAAAAATGATGTAATTATAATTTGCTAGAAGGAACAATACAGGAAAAGAAAAAGCGAAAAAGGTTGTATGATTATTGTATAATGTTGTTCGTCGTTTCTTTTGCACTTTTTTGCTCCTTCTAGCTAATTGTAATTATATTACCTTTTGATGCTACTTATTAAAACTTATAATATATATCTCATGTGAAAAAAGTAGGCAAAAATAACCTTTTAGCACTTTTAAAAGTTGTGTTTAAACAACAAATAATACTTATAAGTGAATATTTTTATGTAATTTTCATATTTTTTGACCAAAAAAGTAGCATTAAATATTATTGAAAGTATGAAAAAGCAATAAAGCTTACTGAGAAAGGTGAAAAACAATAATAAAATTTTATTTATTTTACTATATTAATATTGAACATACTTTTCAGTGTTTACAAGATTATTAATTACTGTTAATATTAATACAGTAAAATACATTAAATTTTATTACTATTTTTCACCTTTCTCAATAAATTTTATTGCTTTTTCACACTTCCAATAGCACTTAATAGTACTTTTTTAGTCAAAAAAGTATGAAAATTACATAAAAATGTTCACTTATAAGTATTATTTGTTGTTTAAACACAACTTTTAAAAGTACTAAAAAGTGGGTTTTTGCCTACTTTTTTTCACAGGAGATATGTATACTTCTTTTTCTATTTGTATATGTTTATTGCATGCTGATGACTATTCTAAATTGCCAGAAACTCGAAATAAAGATTGATATTGGTTGAAAATTAAAACACATTTTTTGCTGCAGTAATAAACTCAATCATTTCAAATATCTTCTGCACTGTAAAATCGCCAAATATTTTTGTTTAAGATATTAAAAATACTGATTCCACAACTTAAGTGATAAAAAGGAGGAATAGGAGGATTTCGACGTAAAAAGGAGGAGAAGGAGGACATGTTTTGAGAAAAAGGAGGAAAAAGAGGAAAAGGAGGAGGTTTCACATGCCAGATTTCGACTTATAACTAAAAAACAAAAATGAACGGGCTGTGGACATGATCGAACATATACAGAAAAACATATAGATAATTGTCAATCACATTTACGATCAGCTAAATTAATTGATAATAATATTTTTAAATTAACAAGCTATGATGGATTTTCTAATTCAAGTTTATTATTTGATTCAACTTGGTTAAAAGGTAAAATAACCAACAATGAATATCGTCAAGCAATTGAACAGATCAATCAACGTATTGGTCAATCATTAGTTGGTGCATCAAATAATCTTCCATTAAACCAAATACCAATAACTCAATCTACTATATTAGCTATTGAAGAATTAAATTTTTTTTTATTAATTTTAAATAAAACTTTTTTTATAGTTTTGTTGTTTTTAAATAAATTCTCATCAATAGAATTTCTAATCGGTTAAAATATATATTCGAAAAGTTTAATAGAAAAGAATAATATATGCTCGAAAACTAATCGGACAATGTTCAACTTTTATTTATCTTCAATAAAACGATGCTGAAAAAATGTTTTTTTTTTATTACAAGACAGAATTCTTTCTCCTCTTTCGAATCTTATACAACTTTTTTTTCTGACATGTTAATAAATAAAAGGACGCAAAAGACAAGAGAAGCACTTTTTGTCCTGTAAAAATGTCGATCATTATATCTCTTTGATAAATAGATTCTTGAAAAATAAATTATTTGTTTGTTATCAGCTGATAGAAAATATTCTCCTAAGGCGTATACTCTATGATTCATATTTGTCTTACACTTATAAATCAAACGAAACGAGAGAAAAAAAAACACTCAGACAAGGGTGTGGGTATCCCGCTTTGAGTTTGATTGTTGGAATATTGGTCTATGCATGCGATGGGTACGAATGAAACTGAAATCCATATGAACATCAGCACTCATACTCACATCCACAGCCACACCTCCAAGATAATTTAAATCAGTTGTTTTCCCTTTCATTTTTTACATCCACTCATAGACAGTCAAGCTTTGGCTAGTTTTTGTCAAATTTTGAATAAGTTCTTTTCAAAAAAAACCTGATCAATGTAGTTACAATGGTTCTAAACATACCTGATGATAATTTGTGGCAAAGATCGAAACATGTCGTATGTTATGCCTGAATCACTATTCACCTCTATAAATATACACCCACACACCCAATATATATAATTATTCAGATCGTAAACTATACCTGCAGGAAATACCACCAACAGCATGAGAAAATTTAGATCGGCAATTTAAGAAATTGAGTCATAATAATATAAACTACAGTATCAGCGAGCAATGAATAATTGAATATAGAACTATATATGAACAAAACTTTTAAGCTAATCTTCCGCCCTCTTATCATTCTTTCCTACTGTTCTCTCCGCTTTCTTACTTTTCATATCTTTCTGTCTTTTTCTTCTTCTCATTTTGCTTCTGCTTCTTCTGTTTCCTTTTTAATTCTTCTTCAACCTTCATCTTTCCTTCTCTGCCCTATGAATCTCCTATTCGCGCCGTTTATTGTTCACTACTCAACTTCATAAGCCTTTTTCTTTTTCTAAATTGAATTTTTACCTTTATTTTTCCATTATTACTCTGTTAAAGAAGCTTTAGAAATATCCTTACAGCTCAGATACTCTAAAAATAAAAATAGTCAACGATCGGATATCGCTTCATGCTTATAGTGCTCACAATCCTTCTCTGTTTTATTTCTTCTTGTAAGCGCTTCCGAGCGGCACAATAAACATGCATAATCAAAAAAGGTTATCGTGAAATTTATCGGAAAAACGGAAGCTAGTTTACTTTGCTGTTCTTCGTTTAATTGCATCAATATTTTTACTGTTCTGTTAACAGAGAAACGGAGAAACCTAGTTTACTTTATTTCTTTTTTTATTTTACTTATTCCGATAGTTGCTGAAGATTTTACAGAAGCAATAGAATAAAAAAAACGCTTTCCTTTTTCTTTTTTCAGTAGCCTATTCCGAGTATTGCTCGTCATTTTTCTGACAAAAACTTAAAAGGTTAGATTTGTTTGATTTCCCTCTTTCATCATTGAGATATTCTGAAAGTGATCACGCATTTTATTAAAAAGATTGAATGACTTAGTCTCATGTACTTTTCTTCGTATAACCATGTTCGTATTTTGTGCTTTTTTTGCGAGAGAAACAGAAAAGGTAGATTTGTTTTCGTTATCTTTGTTCATTGATTCCTCAAATTCTTACGCTTTTTATAATATAAATTTCATTAAAAAATCATTCCTACTTTTCTTCTTCATTTAGTTACTCTGTTTGTTCTTACATATTTTCTCAACGAATTAAAATCAGATAACTGAATTTCATAGAATTCTTTTCGTTTAGTTATGCCGAGAATTGTCAATTATCATATTTAAATAAACTGGATGAGTTGATTCTGCTTTGCTTTGTTAATTTTAACGGTAGTTTGCCTGGACCTTATGACAAAATCAGTATAAATTAGTTTGTTTTTCTCGTTTTATATCGAGCAGGTATTTGACGAGCATTTCATGTGAAGAATGACGTTGAATTAATTTATGTAGGTTTGCTATTTGTGATTTGCTTCACTAATACCTGTTGGGATTATTATGGAGAAAACTAGAATAATAGAATTCGTTTTACTTTTGTTCTTCTTTTCTGTATAGAATATTTCTTTTATTATATCGATGGTTGTTCTTGTATATGTAACCTAGGAAACAGAATGATTTTTTTTCTAAACCATCTGCTTCTTGTCATCCATTCATTTATTTCTTGAAAGACGACTCATATATATAGTAAAATAACAAAACTCATGACGCCCATGTAAAGGTGTGGATGTGGGGTGAGCGTTTGGGGGTGGATACTGTCTTCCCCTATACCCACACCCATAGCCATACTCTCAAGATTATAATTGTAAATGCTATTACCATATTTAAAAGTTGTTAGTGTGTTGATAGGAGCTTTAATTTGACCCTATTATGTTTAATTCTCTTAGATTATAATATACACTTTGCAATGCATAGATAAAAAAGATCTGGTTTTTGTTACAGTGTGCACAATGGATAGTTCAGTGATAAACATCGATAATAGATCGAGCAGTTTACTTGCAAGCAGTTCATTATTAAACAACTGTGAAACACTTCGTATTCATCCAATTTCAGATATATTTGATCCTACGAAAAATTATGTTGGCTTAATTAGCTATTTAAATGGAGATATTTATATAAAACAATCAGATTGGATTTCGAACAATATGGAACAACGGAGACAACGACGTGGTGGTCTATATCTTCATGGTCGATTATATTATTTTATCTACAGACGTTGGAGAGTGCGAAACACAGCATTTATTGGAGGTGGATTTTCATATCTGGATGGCGTGTGGAAATTTATCTCTAGAACATTGAATACAATGAACAACGATGAACGATTAAATAAATTTGAACAAAAAGTCTTACAAGTGGTAATTGATACTCTATATATCAATCATCGATGGTTAGAAATGCCTTGTGACCATCGTATCGATTGTCAAAGTTTAGCTGTGATGGAACGAGACAAAACGTACATTTCCAAAGCTCATCCTTCGAATATTAATGTCAGCAGAAAACTTCATGGTACGATAAAATGGTTGAATCATGAACGGTGTCGTCTTGGATTTATTGAATGTATTGGTCTTGATAGAGATTTTTATATCCATTCTACAGGCATACTAAAATGTCGTTCATTTTCGTGTTCTGGCAAACATGTTGAATTTAATATTATACAAGAAGGTCATAGCTGGAAAGCGATAAATATAACCACCATTTGGCCTTAGCTTACAATACGTTCGAGTTCAACTTTCAAAGCAGACAGTAGACACTAGTAGAACTATGTTTTAAAGAGAAATAAAACGTGGTAATTATTATAAACCGTGATAATATTCCATAGAAGCTTGTACAATTTTCATAGAACTAAAATATTGACACCAAATCTGATATAAAAAATGTTCATGTGAATGGAATCTCATGCAATTTTTAAGTTCAAAACGTTATTTTGAAAAGTTATCTCGCACTTCAGAGACCAACGGCACGAAGACGATTTTTCGAGGAAGAACCAAATGGGTCTAGCAAGTTTGATATAGCCTAGAATCCTAGTTCAAGTATGTTATCTCGAGATGACATCAAGATTTTTGATGACTACATGTCTACAGGTTACTGGAAGGCTTTGTGTTCGAAATTCATTTCCAGATTTTAAGATTTTTGTTTTTTCAAACAATTTTCTTCACAAGACATCCAGCTTATTATACATTCTCCTAATTTTATATTGATTCCATTTAGAATGAATATCTAATCTTAGTCATTTTGTATATATTTTTTAAATCCTAATTATGGAGCGCTTGGTACTTTGTGTTTTGATAATTTTTTTATCAAGCATCATGATATTCTGTATCTTTATCATACAGATTAGATTTGAAATTATGCAATAAAAGTTTTTTTCGATAATTCAAAATCAAAATATTAAATGATTAACGAGAAATTTTCACTGGCCTAATTTGAAATAGATAATGAAGTCAAATCAATTTGATAGTGTTATAGGATAGCATTAATATTCAAACTGCTAAGAAGTGATTGAGACAATCTCTCGACAAATCCCGAAATATAGAATTATCGTATTTTTTCTTTAATAGATCATTCTAATTAAAAAATTTGAACAGAGTGTTTTTACTTATTAGTTATAATGGGCTAGAACTTTAAATGAATAAAAATTCTCACACATCCGCGCCCTCAATTTATATCACACGTAAAATCCAAAGTAATACACTTTCTACAATATTTTTTGTATTCACATGTTATTCTTTACACAGCTTTCATTGATACCAATATGAATGCGAGAAATATCCTAGATAATACATTATGTTGATTCTTCGAGTTAGAAACTATTGGAAAATTTAAAAAGACTTCTTAATTCTCGATTCTTGGCTAGAATCGTAGCTGAAGATGTTTCATGTCGATACATAACGTTGTCGTTTACTTTTTGCATTTTTATTAAGTATATATGCCGGTCGAATTCGATCATTTGAAAAAAAGAGATTAATAATGTGATATTATGATTATGCTATACACAGTCTCAACAGTTAATGTGTGTTACAGCATCCACGTACACACCGAAGGTAGAGAAAGAAAAACATCTTTGCTGTGCCTGTTCTCTTTTTTTTACATGCAATTTTGCCTCACATTTACTTGTCAATAGTGAAGGACGGTGTCAACATAAAACATCATAACAAACGAAAAATGATCCACTGTTGCGCATTGTATGATGAGTGCAGTCAATATTACAGTTATTAGTCAACAATGTGCTCTGATTCTCGGTAAATCAGATAACTCGACGAAGAGTGATCAACTACATGCATTTTTCGATATTGTTACCGCTGAACTAACAGAAATCACACTATTGACAACAGTTTTCGATCTAATTCCCAAGATTGTGACTATTCTGATTGTCACCGACAAGAAGCGACTGTACAAACAATGCCAACTCGTTGAACATCGACTTTTAATCATTTTTCGAGATTATTTAATTGAATTACTATTTAATCAAGAACAAAGTGAATTTGTTACTAAGTTATCAAATCTCTTTTTTTTTTACAATATTTGTTTTGCTAATGTCTTAATCGATGAAATTGTCAAACTAGCTACTCACAAGCTACTTATAGATCAAATGTGCGTATTTTTCTACGAGATTGAAAATAAAATTTCAAGGAAACTAAACTAATTGAAATAATCAATCGTTTATTACGAATATTTCAAAACATTCAAATGAATCGTTTTGGTATAAAACAGAATTCAGTTTTAAAACTTTTGTTTGACAGTATTACCAAATGTATAAGTTCAAAATTTTTTATAGAAACTCTTAAAGATATACTAGAAACTATGCTAGATTTAAATGAAATTCAAATACTTCTTTTTGATACATGCCTCGAGTCCATGTCCTGGCAACCCTATGAAGATAATCCATTACGCAGGGAAAACCGTGTTATCATTTGTGAAAAGTTGTTGCATGCAACGGTTGATTTAATGTCGTCTTTATCATTGTCGGAACCCATACACTGACTTTGTTCTTTATTTGCCTTGAATGTTATGATTATGGATGATACAATAGGCGAAAAAATAATAGATAAAGATTACCACTTTCTCATTGATTATTGTATATCAATGCTAGGTTATGAAGCAGCATTATGATAAAGCAAACTCTACTAGTTACTCTGTGCTATGTTACGTATGATATTGATATGATAGTTTACATGAAAAACAAGTAATGTGGAGTAACCGCCGCAAACTCTCTACTGAAAAGATTTGATGCTATTGAACAGATGATATTAGAGTAACGAAATATGAGAAATGGTCTGTTCACATGTGCGTGAAAGAGCAAAACTGAGGGAATCGTCCATGACTAAATGGAAAAAATGGATCCCGATATTTTCTGTATCCTCCGTTTATCTTGTATATCTTCGAAATTTTCATTGTGTTCTGCATATTCTGAGCATATTCAAAATATCCTCGGTATCCTCAATGTATTTTCTGTAATCTCTAAACACCCTTCATATTCTTAGTATTCTTAGTGTATTTTATATATAAATATTGGTATGAGCACTGATATCATCTCCACAACTAGTGATATATTTAAATTTCCGCAGCGAGTAATAATAAATACGAAAAGCACCGCCTATTGACGCCAGAAACCAACCATGTCACTGATCAGATGGATTTCAAGGTTAAATGGTTTAAGCAGAACAATTTCTGGTCCTTTTTCATGAAGTAAAAACAAGTTAAAATTCAATAATCACAGTAGTGATGTATTTTTTTTTCTCTCACTGACTATTTATCGAGCATGCACAAATCAAGGTGTGGAAGTATGGGTGTGGGTGTGGGTGTGACTGTGGCTGTAGCTGTGAGAGAGTGAGTGTGGCTGTGGCCGTGGATGAGGAAACAACCATACCCGGACCCACAGCCATATCCCACACACCCATACCCACACCCACACCCATGGTTTTCTGTCTCGTGGATTTATCTTACAACATACTTGGTCTTCTCGACGACATTCTTGTCTAGAAATAATTTTAGAACCTCAAAAGCTCTAATACTACATGCAGATCTTCTTGATAACATCTAAATGATATTTCATGACATCTTCTAGTATTTAGAGTTCTTTGCTTAAAAACAATAATGAATTCTGTACATCAATATGTTATGTCTGTTATCATTGTTGGTTATGGTGAAAACTTCTGTCGTAAAATCCCATATTGGCATCCTGTTGCCTTCGTACTTTAGTTCACCTTAACCAAGTAGTAGACACTATTCGCAAATGAACTCTGTTTCAGGTTCGGTTTTACGGATGTTTCCAAGTGTGTGGTTGTGGGTGTGTGGTTGTGGGCGCGTGGTTGTGGACGAAGACGAGAGTGACACCCACATCCGCTCGGCACCCTTTGTCAGTTCTGCGTGTCAAAATTTTTTTCCACAGTGCGAAGCGTCGTTTGAAAAGGCACTACTATAACGACAGGGTAACAGAGAATTTTATTCGGTCTGAATGCGTTAAAATACTAAAATTTACAACGTCTATTGTATTTATGTAGTTCTTATCGTCAACAAAGTCCAAATCATGGTGTGGGAGCAAGGGCAATCAGTGCGCATTTTGCGCTGCATACTCCAAAAGCCGAATTGCATGCCATAATTGCTGGTGGAGTTCCAATTCCAGCAGTCACTGTTCCAAAAACAGCGCCAGCAGCACTATAACAAGCTACTGCAAGTGCAGCGCAGCCGGCTTGACATATACCGTAGGCTACTGGTCCAGTAGATGCATGCTTCAGTAATAAAATGACAAAAATTAACGGTATGAACGAGAACGTCGATTTCATTTGTTGAATCTGCAAAACTGGATTACATATGTTTTGAAATGAGAAGAAGTATATAAATGAAAACACACATTTAATCAGACTAACCAGAAACTTTATAAGGTACTAATGAGAGTTACAGGTATTTTCCTTTTCATTCTCAATCATCGATCTCATACTTCTGTGAAAAAATTCGCTTCCCATAAATGTAGTCATAACTCATGTAGTCGATTGTCCCTTTCGCGTACATTGCCTTTGTTTTTCTTGTGCTGCTCTTCCTTTTTGTTTTTCTTTTGTCTTCATGTTTTTATTTCTCTATACTATTTGTTGTAGTCATACTCCTCTCTCTTGATCTTGATCTGTGTTTTTTCTCTTTAGGTTTCATTTTCTTTTGTCGTTTTTTTTTTCCTCACCCTGCCTTCTTCTCTGTGTTTCTTCTAGTCCTTCTCCTTGTCTCTCTCTATATACCTTCTAATAGTAACATTGTAACTATTGGACGATGTCTTAAAAGGCCTTCGGGCATTAATTTTTCTTCAATAAGCTTAATAAAAAAAAAAAAAAAAAAAAACTCATGTAGTCGATTGCAGTTAAATTGCATTGCAATTGCGATGTCATCCGAACGCACCATGAGCTACAATTGAGTGTAAATACGCGTAATTGTGCACAGTTTTAGCGTAAAAATTTTCAGACATAAAAGTAACCACGCATTTCGTCAAAATGTGATCGCTGCGACACACCAGTGTGCACACTCTAAACCTTTTTGCGTCGCACTGCAGTGTCGCACGATTTGTGTCACAGAGTTAGTGACGAAAATGTGTCGCGACATTTTGTGTTGCAGACACAGTGAAAACAATGTCGCACTTTCCGTGGAAGAATTGTGTCGTACACAACTCATGTCGCCAAACACAACGCAATCTACGACGCATGCGACGCAAAAAGATTTAGTG